CGATTAAAAAAAAATATATATATGGGTATACTTTTTCGATATAGATAGAACAATCCTAGGAGGTGGTAGCAGTCAAGTTCCGACTCTACTCTTTTTGGACCACCCTAATGTACATACATATGAACCGTGGCTTCAGTTATGTTAACTGATAATGAATTAACGCTAAACTTTTTATTAGGGCGGCATTAATAGAAGTTTTAACAAGAACAACTATAACAACAAAAACCAAAACAATAACGAATACAGAGGGACTTACTGACCAAGAAATCAACATATAACGACAATAATAAAAAATTACAAATTACCACAACAATAACAGCAAAAACCAAAATCACAACAGCATTTATTCAAGAAGATATTCACGCATACCAGATATGTTTATACATGCGCATTAGGGTGGTCCTTAAAAATACCAACATCTACAAAATAAAGACATCCACGAAAATTTCAGAATTGTAAACAAATTTGTTTCTAATAAATTTTACATATTATTGAAACTCTCAGAAAATTTTTCAACAACGCTCTATCTAAGAAAACTTTTCAAGAACGCCCTACTTCAGAATTTGATTGAAAATCGCCCTATCTCAGAATTTGATTGAAAAGCGCCCTATCTCGGTTGCCGATTAAAAAAGCCTTATCTCAGCTTATTTTCAATGTATTTTGGTTTAAGATAGGACATTTTTGAACCGAATTCTGAGATAGGGCGATGCCTACATATTTTTTTTTTTAATTTTTGTAGATGTCTGTACTTTGTACGTAAAGCCAAATAAAGGGGTGCACCATTTTGTTGATATTTTAAGGACCACCTTAGTGTGCATACATATAAAATCAATGAACTTCGGAATCACTTGCTGTACTTGTTGCGTGCTATAAGTTTTTCAGTTGTTTAAGTTGATATGAACATTTTTCAAACAATGCAAAAGTGCATAAGTAGTGAAGGCAAAGACGGCGATAAAAAAGCGACGATGACAGCTAAGCCAAAGGAAGGAAAGCGAAAGGCCACATATGTATACGTAAATCCATAAGTTCATACATACCTACATATGTACATACATACATGCATATGTACATATGTACACGTATTAAAAGGGGCGGGAAGGCAATGATGATATAAAGAGACTATGCCCGTTTGAAGTGGGGGTGAAAGTGAAATAAAAAAATATATAAAATAGCAGAAATTCTTAAGTTGTGAATCATCAAACAACGACCACAACAACCAAGTCAACTCATACATATATTGCTGACAGGAATTGTGGTGCATTGTCAAATATGTAATAAAGCAAAGGTGTTAAATGACATTCGGGAGTGGTGTTTTGACCGAAAATAAATATTTAAGTCAGCAAAAGGTGGCGTTTGGCCGAAAAAACATGAATTTGCCAAATTTCTCTTTGGTGTAATGCAGCAAAAGAAAGTGTTGTCAACCCCAAGGAATGATGGATATCACATTGCAGCGTCGCCAAAAGATGTGGTTAATAACACACCTGGCATGTGAGAGAGCTTTATAATAACGATCTAGCGAGCAACTTCCCATAAATTTTTAGGTGTTTTAAGCATTGCATAGTAAAAATAAAATTGGATGCTATATTTACAACTAAAAAAAAAAAAAGAATTAACCAAAACCCAAACTAAAAGGGTTTAACAACCGATGGAAGTTTTGTTGTATTAAAAGTTGCATTTTAAAAATTGAGTCGCTATTGTAATTACCGCAGATTGAAAGACTAATTTGAGAAGGTGTTGCCATCGTAAAGACGATTTCACATTCTAATGACAGTCGTGTCCACGACCTTTATCTAAATACTTACATACAAACATACAGTTTTCCAGCTAATTTTTTTTTTGTTATTTTTATATAAAAATATCGTCTAAAATTTAACCAACACCGTGTAAATCACAGTTTCAAACTTTATACAAAATTTAGGAAAATTCAACAAATTTTCATCAAAATTTCAACTTTTTATTCTGATTTTTTTTTAGAAAATTTTTGGGTATACAGTTTTATAGCCCATGCAATTTAGGTCTAATGAAGAGCAAATTTCAAACGGCTAAAAAATCGAGTTGATTTTTGAGATTTTTTTAGGCTACTTTGCGGTTTTTTTTTTAATATAACAAGCGCAATTTACAAAAACTTACGTTGATATTTTGAAATTTTTTGGCTGACGGTCTCCCGCGTTTTATTTTATAAGAAATTCATACTTATATGAAAAAAGTGCAAAAATCCGTCACCGAGCTTGCACTTCATCAGACTAAAATTGTATGGGTTATAAAAGTGCAAACCAAAAAAATTTTTAAAAATTAAGAATAAAAAGTTGAAAATTTGTTGAATTTTCTTAAATTTTGTATAAAGTGTGAAACTGTGATTTACACGGTTTTGGTGAAAGTTTTGACGATATTTTTATATAAAAATAACAACAAACAAATTTGCTCGAAAAACATTACGAATATTTGAGGAAAATCATTTGGTCATTTGTTTGAGGCACTGTATATGGGCGATTCCAGCGAAAACTCGACCGCGTAAAAAAAAATTAAAAGTCCTATATCTAACTTGGCTGCTCTTTGTAATATACATATACAGGTTATNAAAATTTGCTCGAAAAACATTACGAATATTTGAGGAAAATCATTTGGTCATTTGTTTGAGGCACTGTATATCGCCGATTCCAGCGAAAACTCGACCGCGTAAAAAAAAATTAATAGTCCTATATCTAACTTGGCTGCTCTTTGTAATATACATATACAGGTTATGTAAGCGGATCGTTCGATTTTTCAAAATGAATCAAGTTAAGGACTAGGACTAGATGTGTAATAATGTTTTATTTTTTCTAAAAGAGTAGCTGACAAAACATTTATTTCAAATTATTTATAAGTTATATCAATATTACAATATGGGTATCGATCGAAATGGTTTTAAAAATTAATTACTACAATATTGATGCCAATAAAAAAGGCATTTAAAACCTTTATTTCTAAACTACATGTAGGAACGTTGCCACCCGTCTAAAAAATCAAGTTTAACCTGAATAAAGGCAATTAGAAAATTGAAATATGTATGAATCACGATATGGGTGGCACATGAAAAAGGATATGGTTCCAAAATATTTTGAAGAGGCTTACCACGTGTTTACACAGTTTAGTTCAATGTATGCGATAGTTAGATACCTTACTTCCACATAGATAGCAATAAAAGTGGCTTTGAAACAGCATTATCCCCAAAACAGACGTAACAGGGTGGACACCTGTTTTAAAATTTAAATTCAACGGGATTTAGGGGAATTATATAATATAAATATGTATTAAAATACGTGTGTCAGACGGAGCACGTTTACCAAGGTATCAGTTAAAAAATATATTGAAAAATGTTGCCACCTGTTTACATATTTAAGTTCAATGTGTGCCATAAGTTAAATTAATTACTTCAATATGGATATCAATCAAAACTACTTTGAAGATATTTTATTTCGAAGTTACATGTCGGAGGGTTGCCACCTGTTTTAAAATGTAATTTAAATTTGAATTAAGGAAATCCCATGATTTCCACCTGTTAACAAAATTAAGTTCGATGTATGCAATAGGTTAAATAAACTACTTCAATATGGATATTAATAAAAATGGCTTTGAAGAAGCTTTATCCCTAAAAGACATGTAGCAGGCTTAAAAAGTAAATGCAACTATCAGGAAATATTTAGTTTAAACAGGAAGAATATTAAAGAGGGCTGTCGCTTGTTTAAAAATTTTTGTACAATGGGTAGCACTTGAAATGGGTTTAAAATTCCATCCAATGAAATCAAAATGAGTGAACAGTTTTTAACATAAATGTGCTCTTAATATTACCACGTATTCTTCGTTTAAGTTTAGCGGCTGTAGCTCTGGCACATTACTCCCTATTAGTTCTTTTCACATTCCTCTAGTTGCAGCAGCCCCCTCTAGTTTCTTATAACTTCATATACATTTGTATTGGTTTATAATATCATAATTCCAATCTGTATACAATTTGATAATGGTTTAATTAATAAAATAGGTTATACTTATGTAAGCAAGTTCTTGTGAAAACCCCCAAAAAAGTATTTTTATTACTTCATGGAAATTTGTATACATACATACTACATATGTATTTATTTTGTATTTAAAGAATAGAAACATTAAAAATTAAAAATTTTTCTCATCTATTCGGACAACACATTTATTCTATTGTGCATGCAATTGTAAGTATGTACATTCATAAGTAGCTAGTTTTGTTATGTGTAAGCAAATATATAGTTCCAACAGTAGAGGCGCCAAAGCCTTTTTGCGTCATGTCACTGCTTGACACACATTCCGGAAGCAACATAACAACAATAGGAAAGAGTGATTCGTTCTAAACACCAACAATGCAGGGCAAACACAACCGTGGAAAAATAAACAAAGTAGCATTTTATTGGGCATCCACTCTCCACAATTGCATCAGAAATTTTACAGGCGATTCTATGTTTGTACATATGTATGCCTGTGCAATATGTTTTCACTACTTTACACCATAACCAAACATTGAAGAGGCACTTGGGTTCCAGCTGAAAAGACCAAACAAACGAGGAAGCCAGGCAACTAATACACATAACGGCTCTAAAGAGGCGGTGTCCAAAAAACGAAATACAACAATGGGCAGTGTACGCAAAGAAGTTATACTTATTCTTAGTATGCGTACGTAGGAGACTATAAGGCGACGTTTATAGAAAATTTATGAAAATAAGTATAACTGGTATATACTAACTTGTAATAAATTATTTTACAATACATATGTTTATGTTATTGTTAAAAGCTTCTTAAAATATTTTAAAATTGATATGTATGTATGTAGGCACATTATACCTATTCGCTATTGACATTGGGTCAAACTTTTTAAAATTAAATTTTTGCTAAAAATTACATGAAAACAAGTAAGAAAGTCTAAGTTCGGGCGGAGCCGAACATTAAATACCCGGCGCAAGTATTAAATATGTTTTTTCACCTTTCCGAAACCTNCTTACCCCAACATTAATTGACGTGCTGACATGCTGTGCAATACGATTTAGAAACTTCCTGAATGATGAGCGCCTTAGAACACGATTGGAATTGGAAGCAGCGGCAGTGTTGCTAATCTCATTGCCACCGGAAAGTGGTTTGCCATTTATTATTTTCTGTTCCACTGCTTTGACAATAACATCTCTTTTTATTCTACCGCCAGTTTTAGATTCATCAGAACCGCCAACCCCACTGTCGTTGCTACCATTAGCATCCTTAGAAATGGCTTCGTAGCTGCTCAGCGAAACAATGCTACCGGCGCGCCCACGACCCCCACCAACACACGACGATATCGCTATGTTACTGCCACCAGCACTGCTGGCGTTTTCTACTGCTGAAGTGGAAGTTTTAAATTTGCGCGACCACCGGAAGGGATTTCGAGGCATGGAGAAAGCTCGACGTATTTTCTTGGCGGCATTTGTGGCTGCAGTCGACGTTTGAGAGGCAGGCATAATTATCACTTGCGGCGCTGCCGATGCTATCGGAAGTTGTACATGTTGCAATTGTTGGACCGTGTCAGTTGTTGTGTTGAAGTTTTGATTGTTGTCCGAGGCTTTCATCGGGGCAGCAGGCACATCCCCAAGCGTTTGCTCTTCTGTGCCCATCTTAAGTTTAAACTTTCTTCTATGTGTTTTACATCAATTGATTTATTTTGTCAAATTACTATTAGCAGCGACTGCAGCATTCCAAATCCTCACTATATTAATTGTTTTAATTGACACTCATCTATAAAAAAATTGTTTTCATTCTTTTGTTCGTATTACCAATCTATTTTTTACGTTTCTCTTTCGTCCACTGTTTTGCCCTTTTTTCTATTTCTACCGACAGCACGAAAATTTTCCGCTTTGCAATTTTTCACCCCTCTTTTTTTCTGTATTTTGCTTGCGCGTGAACACCCAAAAATGTGGCGCACTACAATCACAAAATTAATTGAGCACTTCAAAATGCATTAATTGCATTTGTTTCTATAGCTAGCTAAATGATATATTTTCACAATTATCTGCAAAACTTTTTCTGCCCTAAATTCAATTTACAGCGATTCGATTTTTCCTACAATTTTTCGCGTTCTCACCAGTCGCGCACCGAAATCCACAATGAAGCGAAAGAAATGCAACAAAAAGATTACAGCGCCGTCAAAGATTTTGCGGCGGCGCAAGTTGCCAGACTCGAGCACTGAATCAAGGGTTGCATTGGGGAAAAATTTAGCTGGAGAATTAAAAACTATTCCATAAATCTTGATTATTTTACTGTAATTTAATTATTTAAGTTGTGAAGAGCAATCTTGCCCCACAAAGAGTTGGAAAAGTATGAAAATTTCGTGTATAAATGGGAGTCACAAAAGCATGAAATCGGGTGGCATCTCTACGCAGTTCTAATTGGATTCGTTGTGGGAGAAAACTGACGTGTTCCAAGCAGAGTTGATTTGTGAGACTAGTTAAAGTCTCCAAAGTGTTATTGTTGCCAGACTTCAAATGTGGAAGATTCGTAAAAATTGGATTAAGTAATTTTATTAAATATTCGTTTGAGAGCGTTGAAAAATTATGAGTTTCGATCGAGAATCAGTTGCGAGCACAGTATATACAGTAATAAACCTTTGTGAATACTCCTCGGGGGTAAAATCTGATCAGCGTTGATAATGAGAAGGAGCATGCATTTTGTTCATTCAGAGTAGAGTAGCACAACTCATTACTGTGTAATAATAACCGAAATTAATTGCAAAAGTGTAAAAACATTGCAAATTGTCTATTATTATAGATACTAGTACAAATTATCATAGTTCAGTGTATAACTTGTTATATTACACCGTACCAATGAACATAAATATCAAGAAGGGGCAACTCGTTATAATTGTAGCGAAAGTGAGTAACAGGGGCGTGCCTTCTCTTTTGCTCTAGTAAGTTTTTTAATTGGATGAAAAGAGAAGGTACGCCCCTGTTACTCACTTTCGCTACAATTATAACGAGTGGTCCCTTCTTGTTATCTACGTTATTTGACCGTACTTGATAATAAACTGTTAAATGCTGAAAACGCTTATAATTTGTAGANTTCGATATGGTAACAGGCTTTCGATATGGTAACACTGCAACGTTGTTGACGTGTTTGTAATCGCTCTGCGGAAAATTTTTAAAAAACAGCCGAATTGTTGTGATTTTAACCAGCGTTAGAGCCAGTGACTTAAATAGCGAAGTGCTAATAAACTGTGCTATTTGCAAGCACAAAAATTTGTTTCATTTTGATTAAACAAACAAATAAATATAGCTAGAGACATAAAAGTGCAGTGAGGTGACAAAAACAATAAGGCGCGAAAATGGATAAATGCCATAAGTGCAAGAATCCAATTCGCGGTGACAGCGGAATCCGCTGTGATGGTGTGTGTGGTAAAGNTTTATAGATGAATATTATAGTTAACCTACATTTTAATCATAAATAACACATAATTATGTGTATTTTATCCTCGAAAGGAACATTTCTAATCATGAGGCGAAATTCCCCACAGTAAGTGTTTCCGTGCGCGCAAAACGAAAACGCTGCACACAACCCAAAAGTACTCCTCGGGCGCCAAATGGTGAAAAACTGCGAAAAGGTTTATTACTGTATATACTGTGGTTGCGAGCGAACATTCTGTTAAAGTGTGTTTGTATTCTTCAACTTTAACTCGGCGCAGGGTTGCACGAAAAAAGTTGCTTGGCTAAAAATATCAAAATACGAAAAATTATCCAAATATTCGCCATAAAAAGGTGTTTACATTGTTCAACTCTCTGCTTTCTATTTTTGGTTGAATGGCCTTTCAACTAATCGATTTCAACGAAGTTGGTCGCCAGCCAACATTTAGCCATTCAACTTTTTTTTCGTGCAACCCTGCATTGAGTTGAACGAAAATGTTGAACGCAAAGTTGAACAATGCACACACTGCTTTACTGATGCCTTTTGTTTCCGTATACATTATTCTTAGTGTTGACAACCCTGTGAAAGTAAAGGCTCGTAATCTTGCAGCCAAAAGTATGCAATAGTCTGTTATTTCCGTTATTCTACCGGAAATGATTGATTTTATGAATGAAGGGAACTAGAATAAACTGCCAAAAGTTTAATGACGGCTGTGTGTTGCATTGTCGTCGGCAAAATATTTATTTACATTAGACCTATGTATGTATGTACTAATTGAGTATCTGTGGCTTGTAGTCCGTCGTTTTCAATGTGTTGCAGCATAATTCTTCATAGCGTAGAAAGTACTCGTAATATTTGAACTAAAATGTAAGAACATATAAGAGCTTACAGCAAAATCGTTCTCCTACAATTACGGTGACCAGATTTCTGTGGCCAAAAATCGGAAAAAAAGACATAACATCTTTTAATACAGTTTTATTTAAAACAGAACAAAGAGAACAAACCTGAAAAATTATCGCAAAAATGTATACACACAATAAATATGTACGATGACGAGAATGCAAATAGCGAATAGACATTTTAGCAAGTTTTGGCTACTTTTCTTTGTTTAAAATGTGTTTGTTATTTTTTTATGAAAATATAACTTACCATATAAAAAAAACCTGTAAATCAAAATTTCAAACTTTGCAACACATTTATAAAACTTAAACGAATTTCAACAAATGTTGATCAAAAGTTTAAATATTTTAAACAGATTTTCTAGAATTTTTTTGAGTATGCAATTTTGTAGCCCATTAAATTGTTGTATAAAAAGTGCAAAATTGAAGTAGCTTGGTCTTATCGTTGATTTTCGGAAATTTTTTGTTCGCGCATATTCCTCCATACAAGGTACATATGTATGTCCAACCCTTGGTTCAACCATTTATTTTTGTGTATAGAGAAAATGAGCAACATCTTCCACAAAAAAAAAAAAANATGTCCAACCCTTGGTTCAACCATTTTTTTTTGTGTATAGAGAAAATGAGCAACATCTTCCACAAAAAAAAAAAATGCCAAAAAATCGACGGTAAGTCCAAGCCACTTAAAATTTGTACTTTGAATTGAACGGGCTACAAAGCTGCATACTCAGAATGTTTCTGAAAAATCTAGTAAAGAGCTCAAAATTTTCTCAAATTTTGCTAATTTTTGTGCAAAGTTTGCAACTTTGACATACATACATGGTTTTTGTTAGACAAAGAGCTATTATTTCATAAAAAAGTAATAAACATTAAATATGTAATACCAAAGAATGCTAAAATGTCTTTCCCAATTTATGTTTTTTTAGGGAATTAATATTTTTTATAATTTCACTAAATTCAAGTTAGAATCGTTTTATTGAGAAACAAAAAAAAAAATGAACAAATAATTATTCAAGTGATTTTTATGCAAAAACACAAAACCGACTTCAATGCTAATATAAAAATTTAAGATAACCGTTAATTTCTTAATGATCCAATGATCGGAACTAAACCAAATTGGTATGGGTGGTACCTTTCCTTTATAGAAATCGGTTAAGGTGGTCCAATTTTATGTGGTAACATACATAACAAAAAAAATATTCTGACGAATCACCTCCTTAAAAAAAAATGGGAGAAGAATGATAGACTCCAACATAGCGATAGTATCAGTTTGACAGAATAAAACAAAATCAAAGATAATAGAAAATAAGGATGCTGGCTATGGTTATGGCTCCCGTATATTCTATGTTCTTTGTGATAACGACTGTGCTGTCACGTTTGTACGAAAAATTATTTTTGGGCCAGATTACTATTATTAAATTAATAAAGAAAACACTGAAAATCGGGACTTAATCGGTGCAAATATGAAAAATCGGGACACTTATACGTCCCGACTTTTCAAAAATAGTCAGCTGGAAAATTTTCTTAAAATCGTAAAATTTATTGTATTAGCTATAACTTTAATTCATTTATTATTCCTTCATCGAACAGGTTCAAATAAGCCAATTGGACTAAATTTAAATATTGATAAAATTTCATTTCATCCTTATTTTTCTTATAGGGACATTGTAGGATTTGTTGTGATAATTATAAGTCTAATTATTTTAACACTAATTAATCCATACTGTCCCACCCAAATCGGGACGAATGGTCACCGTACTGCATATCGAGGGCTTACATATATTCAATACCCTTTATCTGCAATTTCCACAAGATTCTGATATAAAAATCCACCTAAGAATTAATTGTCATTGACGCTGTTAATGCTGACCTTATATATAGCTTGCTGGTCGAATTTACTATTGAATTTCAAAGTTAGAGTCAGCACAAGTAATGACAGTTAAGTCCCAGATGGGTTTCAACTTCAGAAACTAGTTTTTCTGAAAATTGCATATATACGATATTGAATATAAGCCCTCGATAATGTGAATTAACCAGAATGGTTTAAGGCAGAGTTCTAAAATATTTTGTTTGTTGAGTTGCGACAATCTTACGTTAAATAATCGCTATATGCACATGTTGTTTACAAAAGGAACACAATGACAGCGTGCACCGCGCTCTATAAAATCATCTCACAATCGCAAGCTAATTTCATTCAGTCTGGAACTTTTAAGCGATTAGCGCGTATCAAGTGAATTAAATACAAAATAATTCGGAAAACCAGTGATCTGCTACCTATAAGACAGAAGCTGTATGGGCAGACTTTTAAATGTGAGTTTTATAAATGATGATAAATATAAAAAAAATACATATCGTCGTTTAAAGTACAAAACCGCGTATCGCCATTTTGAAAAACCGCGTAACGAACATTTACTGCCAAAAATTGGATTTGCTTACACAAGCTCTTGGCTCAAGCTTTATCCATTCGTCCTGAAACAATCTAGCCAAAAATGCGATTGCTTTATAAAAAAGAGAACCATTTTGAAAAATGAGGGTTTTTACTCTTTAGAAAATAATTTATGAAACCTCACATACGCGGTTTTGAATTTTGTTGATACGCGGTTTTGTATTTTAAACGACGACATGTACATATGTATGTGTGAACTGACTTAAAACAACTCTTATGACCCTTTATTTTCAAAAAAAAGATGGCCTAGAGAATTATCTTCACCAGTTAAAACAAATAGAATGTTATCTTCTTATATCTTTATGGAATCAAAATACAGACAAAACTAATTTCACAACAACAAAGCTTTAACACCTCTCCATTTTATTTGAGCAATTTTTGCATAATCAAATAAAAAACACAGTAAAAATTAATAAGAAAATAAGAGTATACAAGTTGTGTTGATTTAATTTATAAATTGACGTTTGTTTATCCCACAGAGAGTGCATTGGTGATATTAGAAGGTGGAAGGTTACGCAGACTCCGAACAGCGGTTGTATTTTTATGCGAAGCGAAGAAATACACTCGGAAGAAAAAAAAAACTTTTTCTCTGTTTTTTAGTTTTTGATTAGCAAATACCCGGCGTGTTTCGCTGCGCTTTAAAAGTACTTTTGTGTTGTTTGATACCCGTATTGTTATATTTAATTTATTTTATCAACTTAATTAAATAAATTTTTTTCAATTGGTGGCAGCCCTCCTCAAAAATATTTTCGGCAGTAAACTTTCCTAAACCTTTTCAGTTTGATACTCATATTGCAATATGTAATTTATCTTATCAATTAAATTAAAATAAAATTTTAAACATGTGGCATCTTCCACAAAACTATTTTCGGCTGTAAGCCTTCTTTAACCTTTGACAGCCATACTGCTATATTTGCTTGATCTTATCAATTTACTTAAACTGCAATTTTCAAACAGATGGCAACTCTCTATTATTTTTCTTCCTATATTTTAAGTTAGACCCCTAGCAATAAATTGGTGAAAAGTTTATTCAATTTCAAGCATCAGTTTTCGAGTGTTGCGCGTACAAACATACATACATACAGACAGACAAACAAAATTTCTAAAAATTGTTTATTTAGCTTCTATTGTTCTAATAAAGACCCCTCATATTAATTTTTCTTTAATATCTTTAATGTACAGATGTATCGACCTGTTACAATTTTATTATATGTATAAATGTTGCGTTGAATAGGGCTTGAACTCAGGCCCTGCGGAATGGTAACGCCCGCCGCTAACCACTGCCATCGACAATTACATTTCAGTATAAATTTTACGGGAATCTATAACTCTTCTGGTACGATTTCCTTAAATCGTCGTTTAACTACCAACCTGCCGTTGTTCGGTCTAACTTAACTACCATGCGAATTTCTTCATAGAACTTTCAATGGGCACATGGACTAAATTGTTTAAATAAGATACAACTTGCCAAAAACGACCTTTTGTTTTTAATTTTTTTTTTTTTTTAGCAAGCCGAACTTGATTGGGGACTTTCCCCATAAATCAGACATTTAACGCTTATCATTATTTATTCAGAATTAGAGCACGATGGGGACTTTTCATAAAACTTTCACTAGCATTTATTTAATTCGCCGATTATAAAAACTCCCCTAGCTTGACCTAAATTTGACATCAAAATTTCATTACATAAACTGAATAGACTTTTTGTTCTAATATACAATTAATCCAATTTGTTGGTCACGTACAGATTATTTGCTGATTCTAATTTTTTTTAAAACAAAACAAAATTCATACTGCAGATTATTGGGCCCACTATACATATTTGCCTTTAAAATATAAAGCCAACAGATTGCCAGAAAAATGTGTCGAGTATATACTAGTTATATATTTGCTATAGAAAAATAAAGCATTAAATTGAGCTGATAACGAATGACGGGTGTATTATGGAAATCCACTTTTAAACCAGCTCAAACTGGATTTCCTAGAAAGCTCACAATCGAATTGGACCTGGTCGCCTCGCACCGTCTATCTGACCACTGACAGTGAGTGCTACATTAGTCAAAATAATGATGTTATGTTTTTTTTTCTTTTTTTTTTTTTGAACCGTGCATAATATACATATGTACATATGTACTTTTGTAAAAAAACATAATGCTGATAACGGTCAACACACAAAATGTATTGAAAAACTGAGTCTGACCGAGGCGAACAACAGCATGTTACCCGGCCTGAGTCTGAGATTTATTGTCAGACGGTGGTATTGATTTATTTATATACGTATTTACAAATGTAATAACATAGGACTAACCGGATTGAGCTGGTTTTGTAAAGATAATCTCGGGGGAATCTGAACTTTTGAACATGATGTAAAAAAAAAAATACATATGCACATATATAAAAAGTAGTGCTGATCACTACTTATTGATTGAGCTGCTCAGCTGCGAAGAGCTTAGGTTAATTCTTAAAATAGCTTTAAAAATTAATTAAAAGTATATTTCTTTTACTTACGATTTGCTTAGAGCTAGGCGAACTTACCCTTGCCCGTTAGATGTCGCAAAAACCAATATGGCTAATTGGTAGAGTTGCTATCGCTTTTTGTTGCATAAACCGGTTTCGCTTTCGGTTTCAGTTTCAATGAAATTTGCATTTCAAATACTGTCAGCGCTTATAAAGAATATTTAAGTAAAAGAATAAATAAACTTTGTTCTATAATTCAAGTTTCACATTCCCTGTAAATTGTATCAATCGCCAGTGGCTTTACTACCTTATTTTTGTCATAGTTGATTAAAACACACAGTTTTCAAACGGCGCTTCTTTCATAAATACCAAATAAAACAGCAGCAAAGAATAAATAATACTAGGAAGACTCCAGTTTACCGTACGTTCTCTGAATTTATATAATCCAAATGGAGCTAATAAAATGTTACTACAAAAGGATATTATTCAACTGGTAGGCTTGGCAACTCTTCATTTTGCTTTTTCCTGTACTTCCCTTGGGGGCTTGCGGCCATTGTTTACTTCGCATTTAGTGATAAAAGTAGTTGTTTTATGAAAAAATAAACAAAAAGTAGTGAAAGCATAAGCCGACAATTATACAGCTTTGAAAATGTAAACAAACGAGAGCTCCTGAATGCGTGTAAGTTTTTTGGTAAATTTTTTTCCAAACTAGTATTTACAGATAAAATTATTTTGCTGAATATGTACATATGTATGTACTATATGGAGGTGTGTACGTACGTATGCATATACAAACTTAAGTATAAAACAACGACTCTAAATATGTATACATAAGTAGATGTATATAAGACCATAAATATATTTATTTTAAATAGTACGTACATATGTACATAAATACATATAGAGTGCCTCAGTTTAAGATATTTAATTCAGCAGGTCTATTGATATCGGCTCAGCTATTCTATTTTTAGTCATACATTTTTACGAAGGACATATGTAAATACATATATGTATATGTACATATGTATGTACATGAATATGCATTTATGTATGTATGTAGCATTTACAAGCAAATATGAACATACATATGTAAGCGACTTAAGAGTGTTCGTTAATTAAAAATAAATAAATTTCAATGCAAAATTTCAGCTGCTTAGCAGAGCATTGGCCCAAAAAATAGAGCTGTTTGATTTTTAACAATACCTTGCCCCAGATCCTCTGGTGTTTGTGAGTTTCGAGCTTGTAACCAGATCTAGATATGTGGATATTCAAACCTAATCTGCTTTGATCCGCTGAAAGTACTATGCAATACCGATTAATTTATTAAGCTTGTACAAAGAACATTTGTTTACTCGCACTTTGTCACCTTTGTACGAGCTGAATATGAAAATTTAATTCAATTATCCAAATAGCCTTTGCTACTAGACACACAAATACATACATGAAATGATTTTAAATAGTTGAATATCTGCGCAATAAATTAAGTACATTCCTACTACATTTTAGCTAAACATCGCAAAGCCTCATTATTGTATTATGTTTTTTACGAAATTTCCCATGTCGCTTATCGTGCTTGAAGATAAGTGATACGTATATGTATGCTGATACGCAGGTTGATATTTATTTCTTGCAATAAAAGATGAATATCTCACGTCATGACGTGAAGTCTAGATGTGCACTAGTAGCGCTAATTTTATATTCTTTATTTCAGTTGGCAAGTTCTCAGCGAAAACAATTGACGATCGGATAAGCACAAAACAAAATAGTGTAGCCTTTTACTATTTGAGATTTTAATTTTGTAACACAAGCAAAAAATATACTCAGACAGTGAAGACATGGATACTGCAGAGACAGGCATATCTGTGCCAGATGGCGGATGGGGTTGGGTGATTGTGCTTGCCGTTGCATTGATTAATGTGAGTAATTTTTAATATGGGAAATAATTCCAATCTTAATAAATATTTACTTTCAAACTAACTTTTATGACAGATGACCAATACATACATACACTCCGTTTTCGGTTTGCTCTTTGGTGCCAAATTGCATAGTATGCAGGAACATACCTTTACCGCTGCATTAATTTTGAACTTGAGTAGCTTGACCTTGAATTTTTCTGGTTTATTTATTGGTCCAGCCATTAAGGCATTTAAACCACGCAAGGTCGCAATTACAGGCATTTTACTAGTATCTTGCGGATTGTTCCTTTGTGCATTTGCAGGAGAGAGTTGGCATCTCATTGTTGGCTACAGTTTATTTGTAAGTGAATGCAAATATTCGACAACAAAAAAAATAAACTAATCAAAAAAACATTAATTGCAGGTTGGCCTTGGATTCGGGTTAATTACGCCAGCAACATTTATGGCCATAAATTCGTATTTTAATGCAAAGCGCGGCCGCGCTGTAGGATTAGCGTTGGCTGGTGCTGGCGTAGGACAGGTGACGATGCCACACTTAGTGCGTTTACTTTTAGATAGTTATGGTTTTCGAATCACAGTTCTGGCCCTGTCTCTAATTTCGCTTGTTGGCGTAAGTGTGCTATAAAACATTAACTCTTTCAGTTAGTAAAAACCAAATCTCCCGTGTCTCCTGTAGCTTGTGGGTGCCGCTTTGCTAAAGCCATTTGCAGCACCAATCAAACATAATAATCGACAAAGTATACGTCCGTTGCTATCAACTGATGATGAGAAAGCAAAAACTTGTCCGCCGCAGTTTGAAGCGCATGTGGTTGAATCCACCGATTTGGCAAAGGCGGAAGAAGCACATAGACGGGAGAGTTGCTGCAGCAAAATGAGCCATCGTCTGGTGCAAGCCATGGATTTAGAACTGCTTAAAGATGTGACATTCTTGAGCATTATCATCGGTATGGCACTGGTATACACATCCACCATGCAGTTTACTATGCTGTTTCCGCAGTTCTTGCAGGTTGGCGCAATTATCTTATCTTTGTAAAAATTCTATTTAACTTTTCATTTCATATTTTTTTAGAACTCCGTTGGCTTCTCTTCATTCAATACAGCAACTTGCATGTCTGCTATAGCTGGCGCTGATATTACATGTCGACTTTTATTACCCTGCATCACTGACAAGCTTAAAATACCCTACCGCGTTGTATTTCTGTTGGGCACAATGGGCTTACTCATTTCGCGTGCTGGTAAGCTTTTCTCACAATATGCTCCGAAATGCATTTATTCATTGCCTTACAATACTTTTATTCTATTATTATTATTTTTAGCTCTAGCCGAATCGATGGACATGGCAACAATCATAGTGATGTCAATTTTCTGTGGTATGACAAAATCTGCGACGGTGTTGAATAATAATTTAACGATTTCAAGTTACTGCCGTCCGGAAAAACTACCAGGTGGTTTGGGTTTAAATATGATTGCTAAAGGTGTGCTCGTTATTACTGTTGGTCAATTACTCGGATGGATACGTGATTACACACATTCTTACATACTGAGTATGCATGCACAAAATATTTTACTACTACTGGTAGTGTTAGTGTGGACGCCAGAGCTTTTTTGTCAGTACAAAAAACATCGTGAAGCAAAGCGGGAGGCAGCCGCCAAAAGAGAACCGTATAAAAAAATGAGTTTCTGCTAAATTATAAGGAGTTTTTATGATATACGATTTTTAGCCAGTATTAACTTCATGAACATTTTATTTCAACATACACAATCTCACACTGATAGTTTTTAAATTTGGATCATTAAACTGTCATAATTTCATTCACATATTTTACATTTAAGGACTAAAGCTAACTTTTCTTTTAAGATACGTCGCATTTTTAGCTTAAAGAAGCCTGAAAGAAAATGATGTTTGATGTGATCTATTAATATCTAGGAATGTGCAATTACTAGTAAGGCATAAATAGGAACGTGTATGAAAGATATCATATGCATAAGATTAGATTTGTACTTTAGATATAAGCTTTTTTCAATTGAAACTGGAAATGTATATTAATTTGGTAAATAAACAAAACAGTTACACCATAAAAGAAGAAGTTTAAAATGTC